CCACAGGTCAGGGAACCAACGTGAGGATTCTGCCAGCTGCCTACCTCAACCACATCCCAGAACTGGGGAAATAACCACAGCATTGGCTTGGGGACCCGAGACACATGAGCTAAAACTCCTCTGGTCAGCTGACCTCCACAAGGCCTACTCTGACTGGTGGACCACAATGATGCTCTGGGTCACCTTGAATTAGGGTCAGTTCGGAGCTAGTGTTCAGTAATTCTTGAAAAGTCTAATTATTTCCTTTTCCTCAGAGCATAATCACTGTGGTAAAAGGCCCCAGACCCCGAGGGAAGGCTGGGAGGAAGATTCAGTGTCTGTTTTTGCCAGCACAGCAGGGTCTTTCCTCAAGGGGATCTGGCCTCCCCTTTATTCAAGTGTTTTTGGGTCTGTAAACTGGGTCAAGTCTGACGTTGACTGTAAGGCCGTATGACACAAGTTTGTGCACTTGACCTAGAACTCTTCCTGTGACACAGAACAAGTAAGAATTTAGTAGACTGCCCATCTCTTTTCTTCTAGGGACACCATGATCAACTAGTCAGTGCCATAGGTCTCTGCCAATAAGACTATGCTAATTACTGCTTTGAATCTGCTGTCCATTACGGTACCTGGCCCCACCTTGTTTTTGGCAATTATGCTCTCCTTGGATCCAATTATTCCCATTTAAGAATCCCAGTTTGGTGGCAGTTCCCACTGTAATTTTGTGCCTACAGGAAGGAGTGACCACAGGAGTTCTTCAAGGATGCTCGGGCTCCCTCACAAATGTATTTCTCACAGTCATGGTGCAAGGTGTGTCCTCCGGGCCGTCCTGGAGTGGGTGAGCAGGTCCTACATGATAAATCCACTCTCACACTCCAACCTTCCTAGGCCTTTTGGGTCTATCCTCACGATAGACCAAGGCAGGTCTGGCATGTCTTCATTTAGTGTGAGTTACCTTTTGGTCAGTGTCTCACCTCCCCAAACGAGCCCTTTCTAACCCCGTGAGTTACGACACTATATCCAGAATCTCTGCTTAGTGGGTTCATATCAGTAAATTCAGACTGATCCTACTTTACTTTCCACCATTATCCCACACTCTTTACTTATTTGGCTGTGGCGAGTCTTAGTTGCAGCATGTGGGATCTATTTCCCTGACCAGGGATTGAACCCTGGCCCCCTGCATTCAGAGCGTGGAGTCTTAACTACTGGACCACCAGGGAAGTCCCCTATCCCACACTCTTAATATCCATTCCCACAGATATTCCCCAGAATTATGTCTGCATAAGTTAGAAAAGTAACACTTCTTTTGGAGCATAGTACACCTCCTCATGGGTCAAACTTTGTGCCTCACCCTTTGGGCTTACTGGGACATGTTTTGCTATGGGTCTGGAAGTAAAGAGGGGTGCCCGTGGCCAGTCTTGAGGATGATCAGCAGTATCTTTCAAGGCAACTGCCACAGAAGAGGTTATTACAGGCTCCTCAAGCAAAGCAGGATCACTGTCCTCAGATGGAGTGGAAGGGTTGCTTCTACTGGCACTCACAGAATTTAGGCCTCAGCGTCCCCAACTTCATCAGGACCTGCCCCTATGTCCCCATTCCAACTGTTTCTTTTCCCAATCCATGCCCTTTAATAGCAGAGGTTGCCTGTGAGGCTGGGTTTCAATCTGTGCTGTAATGCAACCACTTGTAGGATGCCATAAGCTGGGATGCCGCTGTTGCAGCAGGGGCTCCAGGAAGCTCAGTTGTGCAGAGCTTGTATCCCTTGCTCCTTTGGCTGTGGCTACTGCTGTACACTGGCAGGGTCATCCGGGGTGCTGGCTCCCAGCTTCCTGCCAGTTGGTGGTGAACATTCCAGCACCAGCAGCCCGAGGGTCAGTAATGGCAGGCCCTATTTTCCCTTTCACTCTTCCTGCCCTGGTAGGGGGACTGTTTCCTGCAGTTATTAATCTCTGGGTAACCTCACATGTTCCCTTTTTGCTCTTAATTTTTGCTTCCAACATATTTATAATAATAATTATAATTTCCTGTGTTAAATTCCCTGTTTCAAACACTTGTAGTGGATACTGTTTTTGTGATCGAATGCTGACTGATAGAAAATATCTGTAACTCATTATTAGCAGCTGGTATGATTTTTAACCCAAGAGAGTCAACGTAGAAGCTAAGTGAATTGAGTCCATTAAGGGAACAGACACAAAATAAATATACAAACATAGCTTTCTTACAAACAATATAGAAAAACAGCCCTTCACAATAGTATTAAAAACTATTAAAAGTTTTAATAAACCTAATACATGTAAAATTGTATGAAGAAAACCTTTAGAACTATAAAAAAGCACATATAATAAAACCTATATGAATAAAGAAATAAAGCATGCCTATGGTGATCTTTACAGGTTAGTACATTAGCAGGAGAATGGTTAATAAACCACAATTTGTCCGTATTCGGGAATGTATACGTTAAAAAGAGTGAAAGAGGGCTTCCCTGGTGGCACAGTGGTTAAGAATCCGCCTGCCAATGCAGGGGACATGGGTTCGAGCCCTGGTCCGGGAAGATCCCACATGTCACGGAGCAACTAAGCCCGTGCACCACAACTACTGAGCCTGCGCTCTAGAGCCCGCGAGCCACAACTACTGAAGCCCATGTGCCACAACTACTGAAGCCCGCGCGCCTAGAGCCTGTGCTCTGCAACAAGAAGCCACCACAATGAGAAGCCTGAGCCCCGCAACAAAGAGTAGCCCCCGCTCACTGCAACTAGAGAAAGCCCGCGTGCAGCAGCAAAGACCCAATGCAGCCAAAAATAAATAAATGAATAATTTTTTTAAAAAGTGAAAGAATGAACTAGACCCATGTGGAAAGGTGTCTAAGACATACGAGACACTTTTTAAAAAGCAAATGCTAGTATAGTAAATTTACTTTTAAAAATCCAAACAAACTTTCTGATACTAGGTACACATGTATGCTTTGTATTCTATAACCCCACAGAAAATGTGTGGAGGCATACACAGCAACAATCATATTCTTTAGGCAGGGAGATTAGATTGTGGGGTGAATGGGGACTTTAACTTTTTCCTTTGTATGTTCCTGTACTGTAAGACATTTCTTACAGTAAACAGCCTAATAATTATGTAATAATTATGTAATTTTAAGAAATGGTCAAGAGGAGAAGACACATCACAGACTGGGAGAAAATATTTGCGAAAAACAACAAAAAACTTCTGATAAAGGACTGTTATCCAAAATATACAAAGAACTCTTAAAACGCAACAGTAAGAAAATAAAACCACCTGATTTAAAAATGTGCCAAAGACCTTAACAGATACCAAAGAAGATATACAGATGGCAAATAAGCATATAAAAAGATGTTCTATATCATGACATGAGGGAGATGAAAATTAAAACAAACAACTATGAGATACCACTACATGTCTCTTAGAATGGCCAAAATCTGGAACATTGGTAACACCAAATGCTGGTGAGGAACTCTCATTCATTGCTGGTGGGAATGTAAAATGATTCAGCCGCTACGGAAGACAGTCTAGAGGTTTTTTACAAAACTAAACATATACTTGCCATATGAGGAGGCTATCATGGTCCTTGGTATCTACCCAAAGGAGTTGAAAATTTATCTCCACACAAAAACCTGCAAATGGATGTTTGTATCAGCTTTATTCTTAATTGCCAAAACTTGGAAGCAACCAATGGGTCCTTCAGAGGTTGAATGGATAAACTTTGATACATCCAGTCAATGGAACATTAATCAGGGTGAAAAAGAAATGAGCTATCAAGCCATGAAAAGACATGGAAGAACTTTAAACGCATATTACTCAGTGAAAGTCACCAACCTGAAAAGGTTACATACTGTATGATTCCAACTATATAGGACATTCTGGAAAAGGCAAAACTATGGAGACAGTGAAAAGATCAGTGTTTGCCCAAGACTGAGGGATGGGGGTAGGGGAGGATGACTCGGTGGAGCACAGAGGATTTTTACAGCAGTGAACCCATTCTGTACAACCCTACCACGGTGAATACATGTCCCTATGCATTTGTCAAAACGCACGGAATGTACAACACTGAGAGCAAACCCCAAGGTAAACTATGGACTTTGGGTGACAGTAATATGCTATGTAACAAATGTACGACTGCGCTGCTAATACTGAGAGTCGGGAGAGTAGTTGCCTATATGAGGCCTCTGTATTTTCTGATCAGCTTTTGCAATGAACTTAAAATTTCTCTAAAAAAATGAAGTCTCTTAAAAAAATCCCTCCTATTCAACCTCTCACCCGGATAATCTCTGGCAACAACCGCTGTGTTTACTGTCTCTAAACTTCACTTATACAAAGTTTTTTAAGGTTTGGAGCTTTAATAAATCTATCAAACCTTCACAGATAGTGAGTACTTTCTCTGGAAATGAGTGTCTTTGACCTCAAAGCACTTACAGTAGTTCTTAGTTATCATACCTGCAGCTCACGGGTTTGGGAGTTTGCCTCTGAAAGTACCAATAAAATCTTACTATTTTTAGTGGGGGGCGCGGGGGGGAAGGCAAGTGAAGGAACTAACAGCAAGCAAGGCTAAGCCATTTCCGCACCTCCCGGGATTGGTGTGGGGGGCGGGAAACGGCCGGGCCCACCCGCTACGTCTGGGAGCCTGCGCTCCGGCCGCCCGGCACAGCCCCGGACACACGCCCCGTCCGCACTGCCCACTCTCCGCGCCCACTCCCGCCCGGCCCGGCCCGGCCCGTCTCCCGGGGACACACGCCCAAACACGTACGAGACTGACTCAGGGCCGAGGCCCACAGACGACAGTCTTAACCTTCGCATTCTCCCCAATTTCCACACTTGGTCACAGAGTCCTCTAACTCTCCTCAGGGTACAGGCAGCGCCGCATCCAAAAGACTGACCGGCGCCCCATGAAATCCAGTAGCCACGGCCGCGCGGGGTATGACGGGGCGGGGGCGGGGTCTCGCAGGGTATGATGGGCCGGGGGGCGGGGCGCGGCGCAGCCGGGGCGCGCGAGCGGCCCGCGGGCAGTACAGCCGTGCGCGCCCCGGAGCCAGGTCCGGGTGGGCTGCGGTCCGCGCGCCGTCCTGTTGGAGGAGGGAGGGGCTGGCGCAGCCATGTTCGTGGCGCGCAGCATCGCGGCGGACCACAAAGATCTCATCCACGATGTGTCTTTCGACTTCCACGGACGGCGGATGGCCACCTGCTCCAGTGACCAGAGCGTCAAGGTGCGCGCGGGGCCGAGCCCGGAAGGAGGCGGGAGCGTGCGCGGCCCGCTGTCCGAGCGGAGGGGCGCGTGGAGAGTGGACTCTTACCGACTTGAGGCGCGCTGCGGACACGAGGTCCGGAGCCCAGGCCGACTAGCGGGCGCCCTCCTCCTAGCTATTGTGGAGTCAACGCCGCCTGGGCCGCCTCCGCGCGGCTGCGGGGGCGTCCGTGCGTCACGGGGGCGTGCGTGCGTCATGGCGGCGTGCGCGCTCCTGCCGCGCGGGAGGCGGGACGCGCGGGGCCGGTCGACTCTGTTCCCGGCTGGGCCCCAGGCGCCATGGCACTGCTCCTCGTTGGTTAGGCTGGGACCCGGGTCGCGGGGGCGCCGGCACAGTGGGTGGGGTGAGCCGGCCCCCGCGCACCTCGGCCCCTCCATCCGGAGCGGGGCCCCGGGACCCCTCCCCGCCGTCCGCCCGCTCCTCATAGAAGTGCCGGGGCGGGGGGAGCCGCGCGGCCGGTCTGCACCGTACGCGACGTTCTCGCGGGCGGGTCGGAATCCACTTCCCGGGCTGCAAGTGTTGCGAGGCCCAGGTTTTCTCACCCGCCCCTCCGCCCGCCCCGCCGTGGGAGTGTCGCAATAATTAGCGTCCGTTAACCGAGTGGGTTTCCTTATCCGAGTAGAACTCAGCCTCCAAGTCACTAGGACCTAGTGGGTCGTCCAGTACGGAGCTTTTGTCTGTCGTGGTGTTGCAGTGAAAATCTTCGTTAACCCAGCTTTTTATGTTTTCTGGATGATTTCCTTAGGCTTATTACAGTAGAGAAATTAGTGAATATTTTAAAAGTTTTTGAGAGTAATTGGCAAATTAGCTTTTTGCAGGTTTGTACTATGTTACAATACTGCTGGTGAAGAGTATCAGTGTGATAGTTGTCCGTGTTGGGCATTATCATTGCAGTTTTTTTTCTTTAATTATTTTTTATTGTGGTAAGGTACACGTAACAGAATTTACTACCTTAACCATTTTTAAGCGTACAGCTCAGTGGTATTAAGTATGTTCATATCTTTGCCTCCATCTCCAGAACCTTCTCATTTCGCACTGTCCCCGTTAAACATAACTAGCCGGTCCCTCCGGCCCCCGCCCCTGGCAGCCACCCTTGTACTTTCTGTCTCTGAATGTGGCTATTCTAGCGGCCTCATTTAAGTGGGATCTTACAGGATTTGTCTTTTTTGTGACTGGCTGATTTCACTTAGGATAATGTTTTGAAGTTCATACATGTAGCATATGTCATAATTTCCTTTGTGAAAAAGGGAATGTTTAAACTTAAAAACTTTTTTAAAAGGCTAAAAATATATATTGCATATACCGCATTTTACTTATCACTCATCTGTCAGTGAAGTTGGGTTTCTTCTACATTTTAGTTGTGAATAATGCTGGTATAAATGTCGGTGAACAAATATCTCCTTGAGGCCCTGCTTTCAACTCTTTGGGGTGCAGACCCAGAAGTGGAATTGCTGGATCACATGGCAATTCTATTTTTATTCGAAGTTTTTTGAGGAGCCACCATACTGTTTATCATTACACTTTTTTAACACAGGTTAAAATGTTTTATTGTAATCTGTATTTTTTGTTGGTAGTAATGTTGAATGTTTTGTTTTTGTTTGTTATATATACAGTTGATCCTCATTATTTGCAAATTTTGTATTTGTGAATTTGCTTATTCTTTAAAATTTATTTGTAACCCCAAAATCAATGCTTATGGTTGTTTGTTGACATGAGCTGGGTGGCAAAAAAATTATAGAGTTGTCGGATGTGCATTCCCAGCTGAGGTTGGACAGGTGACACTCTGCCTTATGATTCAGGCTTTCATAATGTAAACAAGCATCCTTCTCATTGTCTATTTAGTGTCACATTTTTCACATTTTTGTTCTTTTTTTGGTGATTTCTATTGTCTGAAGTGGTCCCCAAGTGTAGTGCTGCATAGAGTTCCCACAAGCAAGAAGGCTGTGATGTGCCCTATGGAGAAAGTGTGTGTTAGGGAAGCTTCATTCAGATGTGAGTTATGCTACTGTTGGCAGCGAGTTCAGTGTTATTGAATCAATAATATATACCAAATACGGTGTTTTTAAACATACACACATAAAACAAGGTTATGTATCGATTGGTTGACAAATATATTGTGACCAGATGCTCCTGTGAATCTCACCTATCAGTATTTTCCTCAGGAGGAGTGGTTTGGTATTCGCCAATTTACTGCTTACAGTGACATTCTAGGACATAACTAGGACATAATGGCTATAAGTAACCAGACTTGACTGTAACTGATATTGTCTCCATTAACAAGTAGAGCAAATGTTCCTTGACCCCAGTGCTCAGCACAGTGCCTGACGTATCCAAGTTTCTCAATAAATACTTTGTTGAATGAGTGAATGTTTACTTACTGATTGTATTCTTTTGCGAATTTATGTTCCCCTCCTTTGCCCTCATAGTGACTAATGTTTATGTTTTTCATATTAATTTGTAGGAATTCTTGGTATAAAATATCTTTTTTCTTACAGGTCTGGGATAAAAGTGAAAGTGGGGATTGGCATTGCACTGCTAGCTGGAAGGTTAGTATTTATTTTTACAGTGATTTGAAAGAATTGAAACATTTACTATTTAGTAGCATTATTGACTTGCTGTTCAGCTTTGAGAGAATTGTAAAATTTATATCTTTTACTTACATTTTTTTCACTATTAAAGTAACAAATACACTTCAGAATATTTAAGAATAAGAAATTTGAAATTCTGTATCATTCTAACCTAATTATTTTTTGCATCTCAGTATTTCTTACCTTTTTCCTTTATATATTTTTTAATAGTTGTGATGTTTTGTACAGTTTTATTTCTTGTAGTTTAGAAATAATAGCTTTACCCAGGTACATTTTTATGTATCTTGAGAATCATCAATTTTAAATGTACAGTTCAACGAGTGTTAGTAAATTTACACGGTTATGCAACCATAACCATAATCTAGTTTTAGAACACTTCCATCAACCCTGAAGTTTCCCTTGTGCCTTTTGGGGTCAATCCTCGTTCCCTCTTAAGCCCCAAGTAACCACTGAACTATTTGTATAGTTTTACTTTTTCTAGACATTTCATATAAATGGAATTCTACAGTATGTAGTTCTTTGTTTCTGCCTACTTTCCTTAGCATGTTTTTGAGGTTCATTGATGTTGTGGCATGTGTCAGTGGTTCGATCCTTTGTAATGCTGAGTAGTATTCCCTTGTATAGATGAAGCCACATTTTATTTATTCATTCACTATTTGATGGACAATTTGATTGTTTTTAGTTTTTGGCACTTATGAATAATGCTGTTATGAACATGCCATACAAGTCTTTGTGTGGACAAACATTTTCGATTCTCTTAGATATGTAGGAATAGAATTGCTGGGCTGTGTATGTTTTAACTTTCTTGAAAACTGCCAGACTCTTTTCCAGAGTGCCTGCACCATTTTGTATTCCACCAGCAATGTATGAGGGTTCCAGTCTGTCTTTTTGATTATATCTTAGTGGGTGTGAAGTGGTGTCTCACTGGGTTTCAATTTGTATGCCCTTAATGATTAATTATGTTGATAGTGTTTTCATGTGCGTATTTGCCATTCATTTATCTTCTTTGGTGAAGTGTCTATTCAAATCTTTTGTCCTCTCCCCTTTTTTTAAATTGAGGTGAGAGTCACACAACGTAAAATTAGCCATTTCAAGTAAACAAATAAATGTGAATGCATTTATTACGTTCACAATGTTGTACAATTACTACCTCTGTCTAGTTCCAAAACTTATTTTTATCACTCCAAAAGGAGACTCGTATTTCTTGCTTTTTAGTTTAACAGCATGTTTCATAAGTACTTTAGTTTGTTTTTAAACATAACTATAGCAACAAAACAAATATAACAACAAATATACCCTATTTTGTTTAGCTGATGGATATTTAAGTTGTTTCCTTTTTATTGTGATGAACACCTTTGTGCAATCCTTATTCTTTAGTTAGATTGTGCTTTACTGGGAATCTAACATTTAGCAGAATCTCAGTGCCGTAGTGCATCTTTTACTTAATAGCCTGTAAAAATAAGAAAGGTGAAATGAAAAAGACTGGACAGAACAAAGGATAAAAAATAAGGGTGCAGGGGCTTCCCTGGTGGTTGGGAGTCCGCCTGCCGACGCAAGGGATGCGGGTTCGTGACCCGGTCCGGGAGGGTCCCACGTGCCGCAGAGCGGCTGGGCCCATGAGCTGTGGCCGCTGGGCCTGTGCATCTGGAGCCTGTGCTCCGCAGCGGGAGAGGCCACAATGGTGAGAGGCCTGCGTACCGCAAAAAAAAAAAAAAAAAAAAAAGGGTGCAGGGACTTCCCTGGTGGTCCAGTGGTTAAGACTGCGTGCTTCCACTGCAGGGGGCATGGGTTAATCCCTGGTCCGGGGAACAAAGATCCTGCATGCCGCATGGCACGGCCAAAAAAAAAAAGGGGGGCGGTGCAAAGTTTACCATTGGATGATGACACTGTTACCATGTAGAAATTATTGGATTATGAAAGTGTTCTGAGATTATTGAGTATAAAAGTGTTAGATTGAAAGAGATTTTGTAAACATCATTGGTGGACTGGTGCTTGTTGTCATACATTATTTTTACTGGAAAGCACAAATGAATTCTGTTGATGTGAAATGCTTTAAGACTTTTCTGCCTTTTTTTTTTGTCAACAAAAAGTTGGATAATATTAATTTGAACTAATTTGACATTTTTCATCTATAAAGATAATGCTATTGAACTTTAAATTATTTCCTCAGAATACAAGAATTTGGACTTCTCTATATTTGTTCTCATTGCCTCTTTTCCTAGAATAGTCCATTGTCTAGCCAGACATCAGAATCATTTAAGCATTTTGTTGCCATGGTTTCTTATACTGTCAGGCTTTTGAAGCATATAATTTTTAAATTTTATTTATTTATTTTTTTTGCGGTATGTGGGCCTCTCACTGTTGTGGCCTCTCCCGTTGCGGAGCACAGGCTCTGGACGCACAGGCTCAGCGGCTATGGCTTACGGGCCCAGCCACTCCGCAGCACGTGGGATCTTCCTGGACCGGGGCACAAACCCGTGTCCCCTGCATCGGCAGGTGGACTTTCAACCACTGCACCACCAGGGAAGCCCTGAAGCATATAATTTTTTTTTTTTTTTTTGAAGCATATAATTTTGATTACTCTTATTTATCAGGTGGATGTTTCCTATAGAAGAAATTTGCAAGTAAAAAAAAAAAAACAGTGGACTGATAGAATCTCTGTTTAAAAGCTTTGTTAGGCTAAACTCTGAACCAAGTCTCCAACTATCATTAGCACGGAAAGCGGTCAACTTTATCCAGCTGGATTTTTCTTTATTAGTAAAATGTTAGAAGAATTTGACTCTAGAGGGGCTGCAATCTTAAGTACAGAGTATCTTCTAAACGTTAAAAGTGCTAGAATTGAACTTTTTTTTGGCTGCGCTGCACAGCATGCGGGCTCTTAGTTCCCCAGCCAGGGATCAAACCCATGCCCCCTGAAGTGGAAGAGTGGAGTCCTAACCACTGGACCACCAGGGAATTCCCTAGAATTTAACTTTTTAAATGTTAAATTGAATAGCTTTCTCCTTTTGTTGAAGTAAAAATACCTGTATTCTGTTTCTTCAAGTGACTAAACTCAGCTTTTTTCATTTTTTGCTTTTTTAATTCCTCAGACACATAGTGGATCTGTGTGGCGTGTGACATGGGCCCATCCTGAATTTGGACAGGTTTTGGCTTCCTGTTCTTTTGACCGAACAGCTGCTGTCTGGGAAGAAATAGTAGGAGAATCAAATGATAAACTGCGTGGACAGAGCCATTGGGTGAGACATTTGTAAGCGGTGGGTTGGTGGGTGGGGAACATGAGCACCCGAGGAGCAGTGGTCTTTCCAAGAACATTTCGGGGTGGTAAGATTTTCAGTCCCACCCGCCCTGACCTCCAGGGAGGAGAGAGGCCCTGGGGATTGATGTAGTCACCAATAGCCAATGAGGTAGTCATTCACGCCTGTGTAATGATGTCTCCATAAAACCCCTATAGCAGCTGTCCTCAACCTTTTTGGCACCAGGGACCCGTTTCGTGGAAGACGGTTTTTCCACGGGGAGGGCAAAGGGGGATGGTTTCGGGATGATTCAAGCACGTTACATTTGTTGTGCACTTTATTTCTATTACTATTACATTGTAATAATAAAATAATGAAATAATTATACAACTCAGCATAATGCTGACAGGAGGCGGAGCTCAGGTGGTAATGTGAGCAACGGAGAGTGGTTGTAAATACAGACGAAACTTCCCTTGCTTGCCTGCTGCTCACCTCCTGCTGTGCGCCCCGGTTCCTAACAGGCCACAGACCGGGACTGGTCCATGGCCCAGGGGTTGGGGACCCCTTCCCTAGAGGACAGGGTTCGGAGGCTTCTGGGCTGGTGAACACCTGGAGATTTGGGGAGAGTGGTGCCTGGAGGGGGCGTGGAAGCTCCACACCTGTCCCCAGCCTTGGGTACCTGTCCCCAGCCTGTGCGTCTCTTCCATGTGACTGTCCCTGAGTTACACCAGTCAGTCAGAAGCACAGATAACAACCTGGGTTTTCGACTGGCATCTGAAGAAGGGTGGTCTTGTGGGACTGAACTCTGAGCTCGTGGAATCTGACGCTATCTCCGGGTAGTCAGTGTCAAAATTGAGTTGAATTCTCCTTGGACACCCTGCTGGTGTCAGAATTATGTGGGGAACAGCCTCTACCTCCCAACCCCCACCGGAATTGGAATTGTTACCAGAAACTTTTACTTCTTTAGGGAAATGTCTCTTCAAGTCCTTTGCCCATTTTTTTGTTGTTGAGTTGTAGGTAGTGGTTCTTTAAGTATTCTGGATATTAATTCCTTAAGAGATATATGATTTCCAAATATTTCCTCCCATTCTGTGATTTGCCTTTTCACTCTCTTGCTAGTGTCCGTAGGTGCACAAAATTTTCATGAAGTCCAGTTTTTTTCTTTTGTTTCCTTGTGTTTTTGGTATCATAAATCATAGACAAATTCATTGTAATGGAGACTTTTCCCCAAAGTTTTCTTTTAAGAGTGTTGTGGTTTTAGTTCTCATGTTTAGGTCTTTGATTCATATTGAGTTAATGTTTGTACACGGTATAAGGTAAGTATCTAACTTCATTCTTTTACATGTCAATATCCAGTTTTCTAACACCTTTTATTGAAAAGATTGCCTTTTCCCCATTGAATGATTTTGACATCCTTGTTGAAAATCAAGTGACCATATATGGAGAGTTTATTTCTGGACTCTATTCCATTGGTGTCTGTCTATTCTTAGGCCATAACAAATTGTTTTAATTACTGTAGGTTTGTAGCTTGCATACTATTCATATTGTTTGACATTTTTTTTTTTAAATGATGGGAGGGGTTGGCCTCATTGCCTTTGCACCGGGGCCTTCCTCAGGCAAACAGTTGCTTAAGGGCAGGGGAGCAGAGACATTTCTTGAATAGAAAGGATTTTTCTAGCAGTCAGTCTGAGATGGATCAGTTAGCATCCTATAGGTTGGGTTTAGGAGTGGTGGCATAGAAAGGATTTTTCTTCGAACTTAATTATTTGTCTTTAGTTAAATCCACTGTCATTAATACATTTAATATTTCAGCATTTGTGTTATTAATTATTCAGTGGTGTTTTTAGACAAAAGTTTGCAAAGATGCTCTGCTATCTTTGAAGTTTGATATTCTTTTGATATTCAGACACCTTAAGATATATTTTAGTAACCATAGACAGTAAACTCTTGATTTCTAAATTTTATTGACATTTTCAGTCAAAAATCATCTCATCTAGGTGCCAGACAGTAACTGGTACATGCTATGCTGGGATTCTCTAATTACCAGAATGCCAGCTTCGTACCATTCGCTTGGTCTCTACTACATGCCTTCTTTTAAAAGTGGATGGTAGCGGTCTGAGTAGGACTAACACTTATATTTGATGGAAAAAGTTTCACACCCTCCATTCTGCTGTTAAAGAATCTTAATTCTTTTACTTTGCGGCCTGCTTTGTATGACAAAACTGCTCATATGAAAATTCTAACATTTTCTGGTTTATTGACCTACCTGCTTAAGAAGAGAGTACTTAACCTAATTTAATAAAGTTAGACTTCGTAAGGCCTTCTTTCTTCTGCCATAGAGGGAGTAGTTGATTATAGGTCACTGGTTTGTTACTGATTGCTAGCTGTGTATGTGGTATTTTGTTAAGTGCTTTGGAGGAAATTGAGGCCCACACAGGTTTTGAATATCTTATTCAAGGTTATATACCTAGTAAGTGGCAGAGGAGTTCTGTGTGATTTCAGAGCCTGTGTTCTTTCCACTCTGCCATCCTTTTTTTTTTGTATTTAATTAATTTATTTATTTTAATATGTAATTTAATTTTTTAAAATTTTTGGCTGTGTTGGGTCTTTGTTGCTGCGCGAGGGCTTTCTCTAGTTGTGGCGAGCAGGGCTACTCTTCCTTGTGGTGTGCAGGCTTAGTTGCTCCGCGGCATGTGGGATCTTCCCAGACTAGGGATCGAACCTGTATCCCCTGCATTGGCAGGTGTGTTCTTATCCACTGCGCCACCAGGGAAGTCCCTGTATTTAATTTAAATTGTTAATTTTTTTTCAGGTCAAGAGGACAACGCTAGTGGACAGCAGAACATCCGTTACCGACGTGAAATTTGCTCCTAAGCATATGGGTCTTATGTTAGCAACCTGCTCAGCAGATGGTATAGTCAGAATCTACGAGGCACCAGACGTCATGAATCTCAGCCAGTGGTCTCTGCAACATGAGATCTCATGCAAGCTAAGCTGTAGTTGTATTTCTTGGAACCCTTCAAGGTATGCTTACACAGCAATCCTCTGGTGATATAAGCCTAGTAATTATTACACTTAGCATCAGATGGTGTATTTTTTTGAAAATGCTTTTCTTAAGTAGTCTTGTTCATTATTTTTAAAAATGTATATTATGTAGAATAAAAATTCTCCTTTCTCCACCCTGTCATGTGTCTTATACCCCTATTTCTACCCCACAGAAGAAGCCAACCACTGTAAATATTCTGGTGCGCCTTCTGGACTTTTTCCATGTATATAAAATAAATATTTAATAACAAATATTTAATTTGTGTGTTTATAAACACACAAATATATGCAAATACAGGTATATGCTATCATGTACAAGTGGACACAAAACACACAGACATGTTTAGACATAACATTTTCCTTTCATGCAATTTGCCTTTTTCACTTACAGATACATCATGGGCATTTTCCCATGTGTTAGTATAACTAGTTCTTCCTTACTCCTTTAACTGCTGTATAGAGTGTGATTCTAAGACTGTATCATAGTTGATTTTTATTAAACTTTTTAAAATTAAAAGAGTAATGAGTCACCTGATAAAAAAATTCAAATAATCTAGAAGAGTACAAAATGAGAGGTAAAAGTTCCCTTACTCCCTAAAAACAAATGCTGTTAGTAGTTTTGTTTTTAGATTTTAATTCTGGTAGTCACTATTTTATTTTTAAATGATTTATTTATACCTTTGGTTCTTGCTGTGTTGTCTTTGGACAGTATTTATACTCATTCTGTGAAAGATGACTTCAGCACATTTACAAAGCTTTCCACTTGTGAAGGTATGACAAGGTATTTTATTTGTGGAAGTGTTAATAGTTGTTTAGTTGTATTGGTAATTATCTTAATTTCAAATATTTATTTCTCTAGTGATTTATCAATTTTTAGACTATATATTGACTCACCTCCTCTCTTTTAAAAAAGGGGAAATCAGCTTTTTTTTGCTTCTACCACACATTCACCCTCCCATTTCCTAATATTTTTTATATTGCTTATACAGTGACAAGATTTACAATGTTTGTATTTATGTTTTGTAAACATTTAATAATATTAAGTTATATGTGTTAAGTACACATATAAGTACTTTATCTTTTGACTACAAGTTGATTCTAAATATTAAGTAGCAACCAAATTTATGACTAGATTATGTAAATATTCATTACAGACATAAATGTAATCTGTTTCATGAAAACTTTCGTTCACACAGAATAATATGGCATTAACTCCTGATGGGTGCTCTTTTCTCTTTACTGATTCCTTTACTTTTGGGTTATACTTGGCTGTCACAATTTTCATATCACGAGTTGCCTTTGGATTTTTTGTTTTCATTTTGGTCGCATACCTCTTAAAGTAACTTTTTTTCCTATATGGGATGGATGGCAAACTTTCTGAATTCTGGCATACCCAGAAATGTCTTAATTTTTCTCCATGCTTAATTATAGTTTGACTAGTTTTAGAACTTCGGCCAAGTTCCAAATGTAAGAATTTCAAATTACTATTCTTGAATCTTTTAAACTTTAGGTGGTGAGATGTCTGAGGTCAGTCTGATACTGGATCTTTTGTAGGAAGACTAGTCTTTCTGGAAGATTTTAGGATTTTGCCTTACTACTTTGAGTTGCAGGTATATTCTCTGAGTTTGTGGTTTGTCATTTTGACACTATCATGACTTTTGATAGTCTGCAGAAAGTTCTGAATTTTAATATAGCCACACTTAACAGTCTTTCTATATTTGTTATAGTGCTTTTTGTTTTTTTATTTGAAAAATTCCCCACCTTGATGTTGTCAAGTGTATTCTGAAAGGTTTTTGGTTTTGCCTTTCACACTTGGGTCATTAAAACTCCTGGAATTGCTTTGTATGGTTTAAGGTAGTAGAATTCTAAAATTTATGTACCAGGATGTTTCCAGGTGTTTTTTCTTTTAAAACATTTTTCTGTTAGGGAAGATTTCAAATATACTAAAAGTATATAATAGGCAGAGCCTCAAATATCCATCACCCAGCTACAGTAATTCAAATCTACTCTTGTTTAATCTGTATATGCCTCCCCACCTTCACAAACAAAACAGAACAAAAAAAACTGGATTATTTTTAAGTAAATCCAGACATACACTATTAGATGTTGGTCTTTTTGGATTCATCCTGCTTGATGCTTAGTGGTCCCTTTTAAGGTGAAGGTCCTTGTCTCAGATTGGGGATATTTTAGGATTCTTTGATAATTTATCCTTCTGTTTTCTCAATTCTGTGCTTCTGGAATTCATCTTTGATTATTCTTGGATTTACTCTCTATTCCTTTAAAATTGTTTGGAGATTTACTACTCTGTCTTCCAGATCTCCAACTTGTTCTTCAGGTGTACATTTTATACCATCCAGTGATGTTGGGGGTTGGGGGGAGTGGCAGTCATTTTTAATTGTTAAGAAGTCTTTCTTTTTCTCTGATAACTCCTTTTTTATGCCTGTCAGTTTTTGTTACATGGATACAACATTTCTCTGAGGATCCTAATTAAAATTTTAAAAAATTTTATGTTTTTTGATTTACAGTCAAGTCTCCTTTTTTGCAGTAGTTATGTTCTATCAAGTTGCTGCAACACTGAATTAGCTAATACTGAGCCACCCCTCCCAGGGGAAATACAGGATTAGGTGCTACCAGCCTCTGATCACATTTTTGTTAACTGATCAGTACTTAACCTTGTTTTATGTGTCTTTCTGTCTAAAGCCACCTTATTTAGCATATATTCATTAACATTGAACTCAGCCAACAACACTAACTCATACCTGAATGCAGCTTTTATCTAACACAGGTATTTTCTCCATAAGGAACATCATGACCTTCTTGCTAAACTTAGGAACACAAGGCAGCACGTCAGCACTGCGCTTGGGGGCCATTTTTTTTTTGCGGTACACGGGCCTCTCACCGCTGTGGCCTCTCCAGTTGCGGAGCACAGGCTCCAGACGCGCAGGCCCAGCGGCCACGGCCCGTGGGCCCAGCCGTTCCGTGGCACGTGGGATCCCCCCAGACCGGGGCATGAACCTGTGTCCCCTGCATCGGCAGGCGGACTCCCAACCACTGCGCCAGCAGGGAAGCTTGGGGGCCATTTTAAACAGTGAAATCATCAACACAAAGAACAAAAATGCAGAAAACATGATGGTAAATAGAGTGCAAAGCAGACACTGGTTTTCAGCATAAAGCTGAAACAGGAAGGCCCATGAATGCCCCAAGTATTGGATTTTTGGTTTTGCAAATAAATTTTAGCAAGTAGGTCAGTTTACAAATGTAGAATCTGCATATGATGTGGACTGTAGGCTGTTTTATATTTTCTCAAAGATCTATTTCCTCAAAGAACTGTTTGTATGCCTTGGTCTTTAACTGTCACACTCCTTCTTTTTCTCAAGTGCATGTTAGTCTTTGCTCATGTATTTGTGAACAGGAGACTGTGATGGCTGCTAGAGAGAACTGGTGTTGGTATTTTTCTCCTGTTAAATGCTCTGTTTTCTTAACAGCTCATTCTCTTACTTAGGGGGTTGGCTGAGTTTTGACTAAGTAGGTGGAGTGGTTTGGCAGGGTTTCCTTGTAGGGCGACCAAGAGGGAGCTGGCAGGTGGGCATTACCCCCAAATTGCCAAAGTTAGGTTTTGACTTGGGGGATAGAGCACTTTAATGTATTTTCTTCTTTCTTGTCCCTCTCCCTGCCGGCTTTGCAGTGCTACTTTATTTCAAGTTCATATCTCTCCTCATAAGTTCTAATCATCTCACTAGGATCCTTCTCAGATTTTATTTAGCCTAGCTGCCAGCCATGGGGGTCTTCTGATTGCAGATTATTAAATGAATCAATTCATGATTGCCCCATTACTCATTACTATTGGTTGATTGATTGATTTGTCATTTACTTATTGATTAGAGGTTGGAGCTGCTAGAATTTCCTCCTTAATGATAGTTGTTGAGCTCTTTTTCCCTTAGCATTTTAACTGTCTGATCTCCTTTTGCTTCCTGGAATCCTCCAGATTTCATGATTTCTGATGGCACATTCTGATTTCTGCACTGTTACAGTGTTATTTTTTCATCATTTCCATGGAGGCGTAGGAAGGAGATGCAGGTGATCAGTCTCCTGTATTCAGTCAGAGAGTTGGATGGTTTTGCTCACTGTTTAATTATGAGTCATATTTGGAAAATGGTTTAAATGTGATCATCTTATTTATGGATATATAAATGAGGTAATCCTCAATTCAGGTTGTTGTCTGGATGTTTCACAATTTATTTTTTAGAATATTTTAAAAATTTATATTTTCAGTAATTTTAGAATATATTACTGTAAATGTACTTGTCCTTGATCAAATAAATACATTTGTGGAACATTGAAAAAAGAAATTTTGTGAGATATAGAAATTACTATAATTTACATCCCTTTGAATAGCTAAGAATTATAATAAGTAACTTGTAATTTTATTTTATTACTATAGCACTTTGTAGTTTACCTGGTATTTTTCTTTTTTTTTTTTAATTAAAAAAAATGTTTCTTTATTTGTGGCCGCTTCAGGTCTTAGTTGCAGCACTTGGGCTTCTCTCTAATTGTGGCGTGCAGGCTCCAGAGCACGTGGGCTAGTTGCCCCAAGGCATGTGGGATCTTAGTTCCCCGACCAGGGATCGAACCTGTGTCCCCTGCATTGGAAGGTGGATTCTTAACCACTGGACTGCCAGGGAAGTCCCTACCTGGTTTTTTCCTTATATTAGGTGATGTCGTTATCAGATGCTTTAGTAATAAACACCTAAACCTTTTTTTTAAAATTATCGCATTTTGTTTTCAGCTTTATGAAATTGGCAGATCACAATATCAAGATCAAAGGTTAAACAATACCTCTATGTCATGTTCATAGAGGTATTACTTAATCTGGATGGGGGAGGCAAAGGAAATCAATATCTAGGACATTAGACATAGAAATGAAAAAAAAAGATTCAACCTACAGTCAACCTCAGTAGAGTTCACTCTCTTAATAGCTTAGCTTTTGCCTTTGTCAAAACGCAGTTGACCACGAATGAGTCTGGATACTAGAGAATGACAGGCATGCCTTCCTGAGGGTGGTCTTTTTCTACTTTTCCTTCTCCATCGGGGTGGGGTTCTTTTTGTACGAAGCACATAAAAATCTTTTTGCCATGAATTTGGTCACCGTAAAATTACTTTTCATTCTATAGTTAATGACCAGAACTTTTAGAAAGAAAAATTCTAACGCCTCTTAAGTGTCTTTAAAAAAAAAAAAAAAAATCTATTGACTGCTTGAAGCCTTTTGTTTTGGGAAAAGGACTACTTTCTAAGCCATAAGAAAATGTGGTTAAAAACAAGGTGAAAGCCCAGTGTCCTCAGTCCCCAGGCTGAGAACTCAGGGGTACCCCTCCTGGGTGTGTGGTGCCAGGCGTGGCAGGGGTCTAGTCCGCAGTGACACGCTGACTGGTGGGTTGCATGGCTGCTGAATGCATTTTTAATTCTCTGAACTAAATGTGCATTAACTTTATAATTATGTAAAATATCTTTTACTTTTCCTTTCTAGCTCTCGTGCTCATTCCCCCATGATCGCTGTAGGAAGTGATGACAGCAGCCCAAACGCAATGGCCAAGGTTCAGATTTTCGAATATAATGAAAACACCAGGTCAGTACTGCTTTGGTTAAGTTATTGTTCTGAATTGCATTTAATTTTTTAAAATGTTATTTCTTTATTCATTAACTCAGTTACGCATTATTTGTCACATATTTACTGATTTCCTATGATACGCTAAGTTCTCTGCTCTGGTAATATAAAATTGAGTGGTGTAGAGGAAAAGGTAATTGATCTCCCAGTATGTACCATCATGAAGGGAAAACAAACAAACAAACAAAAAGGTGAAAAATGGTGATGAATTTTATAAACTGGGAGAATCAGGATGTTCAGAGATTATGCCTAGGGGGAGGGGGCCAGGAAGATTCATTCAAAAGGAGACCCATAGGGCTTCCCTGGTGGCACAGTGGTTGAGAGTCCGCCTGCCGATGCAGGGGACATGGGTTTGTGCCCTGGTCCGGGAGGATCCCACATGCCGCGGAGCGGCTGAGCCCATGAGCCATGGCCGCTGAGCCTGCGCGTCTGGAGCCTGTGCTCTGCAACAGGAGAGGCCACAACAGTGAGAGGCCCGCGTATCGCAAAAAAAAAAAAAAAAAAAAGGAGACCCATAGAATGAGTAGAAGTTAGCCAGACAAAGAGGGCAAAACATTCCAGATGGAGAAAACTGCATGTGTTGAGAGAGAGCCAATATATTTTCACTGTGTTTGGAACATAATAGGTAAAAGGGAGTGTGATGAGAAATCTGGAAGGCTTATACCTGCAAGACCTACTGTTCAACGTTTAATTTTTATCTTAAGGGTAATGTGAAGCCATTGAAAGACTTCTCCGTTGGAGAATAACAGGATCAGATGGTAGTTTAACACTCCCGAGGTGTGGAAATAGACTTTATTGTAGCTTCCTTTATCATCACTTAAAAAATTCAATTCTTGCTGTTGTCAGCTTAACTTTTTTCTTTACACTCAAATTTTAGGGAATTCAGGTACCCTTTTTCTTAAAAAAGATGTTAATGGCTAACAAATCAAGATCTCATTCTAATTAAGTTTTAGTTACTCTGTTTTAAGCTAAACTTAAAAAAAAAATTAAAGGAAGAAACCTGGGAGGTTATTTTACATTCCTAGGGCTGTCAAAGCAAATTACTACAAACTGGTGGCTTAAAAGAGATGTTTCTTTTCAGAGTTCTGGAGGCCAGAAATCTGAAATCAACGTGTTGTCAGGGCTGTGCTGCTTTCAGACTCTTTCCTTGTCTCTTCCAGCTTCTGGAGGCTCCAGGAGTTCCGTGGCTGAGCTGCATCACTCCAATCTCTGCCTGTGTCTTCACGTGGCTTCTTCTCTAATGTCTGTTTCTCTCTCATCCTGAGATCCTTAATTGTATCTGCAAAGGCCCTTTCCGATAGGTCACATTCACAGTTTCTGGGGATTGGGGCTGGACATATTATATATTGCAGAGATAAACACTACTTCATTGTGAGCAAGATGGAGAAAATGGAGATACCTAGACATGTGGATTTTTAAAATTTTCATTTCTGATAATTCTAACGTAAATTGTTTTATCATTTAGGAAATATGCAAAAGCTGAAACCCTCCTGACAGTCACAGATCCTGTCCACGATATTGCCTTTGCTCCAAACTTGGGACGGTCTTTCCACATTCTTGCCATAGCAACCAAAGACGTGAGAATTTTTACATTAAAGCCTGTGAGGTGAGTTTTTGAAACAATTACTAATTTGAAAGTTCTCTTACCTCTTGCTTATTTTCATTTGTGGAGGAGAGTGTAGAGGCAACAGTGATCTGAAGAATGGATTCTTTTTTTTTTTTTTTTTTTTTTTTTGGCGGTTCGCGGGCCTCTCACTGCTGTGGCCTCTCCCGTTGCGGAGCACAGGCTCCGGACGCGCAGGCTCAGCGGCCATGGCTCATGGGCCCAGCCGCTCCGCGGCACGTGGGATCTTCCCGGACCGGGGCACGAACCCATGTTCCCTGCATTGGCAGGCGGACTCTCAACCACTGCGCCACCAGGGAAGCCCAAGAGAGGAGATTTATGTTTTCTTAGTTGTGTTTTATTTAGGCAGATACTAAAATGAATTGGATCCTCTGAATATAATTGCACTCTATAAATGTTTGAAGGAATGAGAGGTGGCAGTCTACTTAGGGAAAATTAAATTAGAACTGAGACATTCTTGTGAATAATCTATTTAGCTTTAACTTTGGAATTGTGAGTTTCTGTTCTTTTTCTTTTCTTTTTTCCTTCTTCTCTCCTCCTATTCTTCCCTTCCTACTACTTTTTCTTTTGAAATTAATCATTGTCATCTCTTTTATTCCTCAACCTTTTGGGGGGAATAAAATCCTCTTTAGTCACTTAATATCTTTTATGTGGTAGGATCATGCCAGGTACTGGGGAATCAAGTGAAAGTGACATGGCCCATCTCTCAGTAAGCTATGGAGGTTGGGGGGCAGGTATGGATATGACATTGATATGGCGTGTATGTGAGACCATTTGTATTTTTTAATTTAGAACAGTGAGTGAGTGTGTGTGTGTGTGTGTGTACACTCAGAACTCCTCAGGAAAATTTTTTTATTAACAGGAAAGAACTTACTTCCTCTGGTGGGCCAACAAAATTTGAAATCCATATAGTGGCTCAGTTTGATAATCATAATTCTCAGGTCTGGCGAGTGAGTTGGAATATAACAGGGACAGTGCTGGCATCTTCAGGAGATGATGGCTGTGTCAGGTTGTGGAAAGGTAAGATTTCATTGGAGGAATTATTGTTTTATGATGCTACTTTAGAATTTTCACTTAGAAATGTAAACTCTGAAGTATTTTGAAAAAAATTAACTTTCTACAGTTACTTTTAAATTAATGTCTCATATTGTGTTGAATCTTTGTCATTTTACCTAGTTCATAGCAGTAATTGACTAATTGAATTGTTTACGTTTCCATGTGGAACAAAGTAAAACTAACTGTAACAGAATATACACTACCTCCAAAGATACCATTTGCTATGTGTGTAACTTGTGGGACTTCTCTACAAACTCAGGATATAGTCATCTCTTATTTGATTAAACAATTGCTTTAGCCAACAAGCCCTTAAGAGAAGAAAAATCCAGTATCTTCCCCACTTCTTCTCTACAGCTCCCAAAAGTTAGAGAATCTTGAGGCCACTGATTCTAAAAGTTTCTTACAAATGCCAAGCAGAGAAGGTGGTCTGGACGGTCGACACAGACTGTGGGTGCTGTGGCGTGGTCTGCACTTCTCCATGGATGTTTATCCACTGGCTCTGTGTACCACTCCAGTCGGTGGCGTCCCATCTTTAGGATTCGAAGTTACAGCTTCGTTCATTTCCCCTGAGGAGTTACTGTTCCCAAACTGCAGTTTGGCTGAGTCTCCTATGGTCAGCTTTAGGCTGTGGTAGAACCAGCCCAGGTGTCCCTTTCCTCAGGGTCTTTGCTGCCCTGTCCTGCCTAACTTGGACTTCCTGAGCTCAGTGTCTGCAGTGACCAGTTTTGCATCCAAACAATTAGGCCAAGTTGGATAAGCCACTCAAACCCCAGAGGTTCTGTTACCTACCTCCATGAGGACTTGACTTGTACTCGCTTAACCGAGAAGGTGACTCCGTTACCCACACATCAGAACTGAAATTCATTATAATGAAGACAGAATTTTATTTTGATACTAACTTAATGTAATAATGTGGTAGCTTAGAGAATTGTCTCTGTTAATATTTATCTAGTAAGGAAAGGAAATGGGTGGTGAGAGCTTTGTTTTTAAATTAGTATTTCTTTAAAAACTTCAAAAAATAATTGTTAAAATTGAGATATATGTGTTTCATTTTAAAAAATGTCTTTACCATTTATCCTGAGAGATATGTAGCCTGTAGGTCTCTTTTATTTCTTTAATTGTAGATTTGTGCCCTGGAACATAGGTATTAGTCATGTTAATGAGTTTGACCATTTCCCTTTCAGCTAATTATATGGACAACTGGAAGTGTACTGGTATTCTGAAAGGTAATGGGAGCCCTGTCAATGGGAGCTCTCAGCAGGGAAACTCAAATCCTTCTCTAGGTTCAAATATACCAAATCTTCAGAATTCATTAAATGGATCTTCTGCTGGCAGGTAGGCTGTTTTGTAAGAAAACTAGAAATTATCTTCTTTTTAAATCATTCTGGTAGCCATACTGAAGGTGTGTTATTTCATGGATTTTAAGATTGAATCAAGAAATTCACACGTAATTGTGGCACTAGAAGAGAAGGAGGCACTTTGGTAGCTCTGTATTTGGCTTATTACTTGGTCATAATATTTACAGGTAGGTTCTGAGGCCGTTAAACAAACTCAATTATATGCTGAAATTTAGTGGTCTTCCAGAAACATATATAACTTTGAAGTAATGAGATGAAGAGGAAGTTTGGGACAGTACTGAGGATCGTAGTCCCAGATGAGCATTAGTGTTGCTAGTGCTGGTAGGGTGGCCTTTGAGTCAGGTTAAACTGAAATTTTAAATAAAACACACGAACTAAGGCTTTGTAAAAGTGAGTAAATTAAATGTTTTTTGTGTGTGTGTTTAAAATTTTCATGGAGATTGTAAGAGGATATGGTAAATTCTGAGTTCTTGATTTTTAGAATTTTTAGTATATTTTAGATTCTCAAAGAATGTTTAATGTTATCTAAAGAGTTGTCCTTTTGTTTTCATATTCAAATTTCAATTGTGAATTTGTAAGGTAAAATTATTTTAATATGCCTTTGTGAATAATTTGGAATACTATTTAGGAAACTTCAAAGCACAGCCTTAACAAACTGTCACGTGGTTGTCCTGTTGTCAATTTAAATGAAAGAAGAGAATTGTATTTTAAATATCCTCAACTTTTTTTTTTTTTTTGCGATATGCGGGCCTCTCACTGTTGTGGCCTTTCCCGTTGCGGAGCACAGGCTCCGGACGCACAGGCTCAGCGGCCATGGCTCACGGGCCCAGCTGCTCTGCAGCATGTGGGATCTTCCCGGACCGGGGCACGAACCTGTGTCCCCTGCATCGGCAGGCAGACTCTCAACCACTGCACCACCAGGGAAGCCCTCCTCAACTATTTTTGTATTGTTATATTTTTATAAAGGAGTCCTGCTTTTTGATTTTTAAGTATTTGCATGAAAACAACTTCAGGTCACCATAGAAGATATCAGATTATAAAGATTATTTCATGAAGCAAAGATACTAGTGTTAATTTTTTTTTTTAAAAATCTGGTTTTTGGTTGCTGCCTGTACTGCACATTTTCTTTTGTAAAGAGCTTTGAAGTTTTGATGTGTTCTTATTGTGCCAATAACCATGTGTGTTAGATCTGTGATGCATTTTCCCTTCTCCATTTGTATTATGTCCTTTAACAGAAAGCACAGCTGAGTACCAGCTAACTGGAGTAACTTTGCTGTTTTGCTGCTTGTTGCATGCACACAGGAATGGGAAGCAAGCTCCTTTTCCCCTTCCCCAGCGCCGTTTGACCTCTCCCAAGATACACCAACAGCCTGCTTACTACTAAACGCAGTCCAAAAGGCCTTTAAAAATACAGTGTATATCATTTTTTTTGTGCTAGCCAGTTTATTGACATTATTTGAAACTTTTGAAATATAAATGGAGAGGCTTTTTGTTGAGACATTGTCACCAAAACAATTTTTTGAAATGTTTCTGAAATGAACATGGGTTTTAAAATTAAAGGATTGTTACCATCCTCATTGCTAGTTGGGAGGAGGGAAGGTATCACTTTATTCCATCTGGAGACTATATATAGACTTATGTCTTTTATTTTCTAAAACAGTAAGCTAAAATGAATTTTTATAATTTTAATTTGAAGATTGAATATTTTTCATAAAGATTGTTTTGAGTGCTAATTTGTTTACCTTTTGTAGAATTGGTTTATACATGATATTATTCAGTACAACTCTGTTATTTCTTTGTAATGTTTAAAAAGTATTAGTGAAGGAGTGAGAGAAGTAGTAGTGAAAGTAACTTGACTGTACAGTTTGTAGCCAAGCATTTGGTATTGCTTCATTTATAATTTAGAAGTAAAATGAAAACATCTTTGTAAGTTTTCAGTTCATATTCACTAAAGAGATAAATGTTTCTAATATGTGCTTGTATATTTTTATGGTGTGATTTCATGGCTTAAGGTTTCCTTCAAGTCAAAATTTGGAAACATAGTATAAGAAGCAGATAAAACTCTGCTAAAATTGTGCATGCATGTTAACCTCCACATTCCATGTCCCAGGATTTTCTTAATTTTGTTGGCTGCTTCATTTAGTTCATATCCTCTGATAACAAAGCTATAAATCTTTTTTTGAGAAAATGCTAAAGTATTACGGGTAAGTTTTAAAATGGCAGAAGAATAACAATAGGACATATTTTTGAGCCCTTTTACTTATCAAAATTTTGTACTAGTCTTTTTGCAGAAAAACATCTAAGTACATTCAAAGATTGTGTTTCTTCAAAAGTATGTTGCAATAGCTGGCCATACTATGTGAAAGTCTATCTGAATTGGTCCTCAGTATCATGTATGCACTAAAAAATGTGCTGCTGCTACAAGTGAAGTGTTGCTTAAAGAAAAAGCTTATTTGATTTGTAAATTACAGGAGAGCATCAATATGTTTCTGAGAGACTAGAAAATGTTTTAAATTATAAAATTAATGTCTTTTTTGTAACATTCATACTGATAATTTTTTTTAACATTTTAAGTTTAACAGATTGTATTTCTTTTTTCAAGTTTCTATACTTGCTTAAGTGAGCCTGATTTGAGTAAGGGTCTTGATTTTGCTATTATGTTCCGTTAGTTTTGGCATGAATATAGTAAAGCTTTTTTTTCTAGCATGTGTTTTTTCCTCTTTGGTTCTCTTTGTATTTACTACTTTTCTCTTTTTCTTCTGTTTTTTCTTTTTTTTTTTTTTCTGTTGTTTTTGTTTTGTTTTGGTGTTTTGTTCCTGTCTTCATTGTTTCAGGTATTTCTTTCCCCCTCTGGATTCCCCACGGGCTGGATCGAGATGGTCCAGTTATGCCCAGCTCCTTCCTCCTCCTCCTCCTCCTCCTCCTCTGATAGAGCACTCTTGCGATGCTGACACTGCCAGCCTCCAGTATCCTCACCCTCGCAGACGATCTCTCTCTCGGCCTCTTAATCCCTTACCTGAGAATGAAGGGGTTTAAAAAACACTGATTTAACACTTAAAGGCCTTATTCAAGTGCTTGTAAATGCTTTCATTCCTGGCTTTTTGTTTTTCTTCATTTTCTTTCAGAAGATTTTTCTAATTTAGGGTCTGTCTTGCATGTATTATAACCAGAACATGGTGTTTGGAACCTAAATGTGTTTGTGCTTCTGCATCAAAGGAATATTTGCTTCATTGGTTGATAACCTTTGATGAAATATGAGATGTGTACACATAACATTAACTGTGAGAGTTACACACAATAGCTGACTTCAAAGTGCCTGTTCTGTACATTTTATTTTGAACTGTTATGGCGTTAAGTTTCTTATGGTTTGTCATACTGGTTAATGTGAAAGCATATCGTTATAGAGTTAACTTTGCCTTTGAGACATGATAAAAAATGTTTTTGATTTTTACAGGCTAATGTTGCAACTGACTAGTTTGTAAAATAAATCATTCCTGTGTATAAAGCAGCAAAACATATTATGGACTGTTTGGTCTTTTTTTTTTTTTTCTTTTAAAGGAAACTGCCTTTCACTACTTGGAATTATTGTTTAAAGCTTTTGTAATTATTCTCCAAGTAGATTATTTAATAAAATATATTTTAAAGATATGAATCTGTTGCCATATAAAAATAGAATGTAGTTTATTTGATGGTTGGTAAAGCTTATTTATATCTCCTTAAAATATCATATTGCTAAAAAAAAGATCCAAACAATCAGAAATTAGGGGATGATCATGGCATTTATTTAGAAGGTAGAAAGTTAGTATGGAGACTAACATCTAGAATCAACAAATGTCTACTTGACATTTGAACTGCTATTTGAACAGCATTTTGTGTGTCTATCAGCTGATCACACAGATGGTATAGTTATAAATATATATTATAATTTACAATCTAATTTTCAAAGACACTCTCCTATCAATAGACACTTTCCTGTCAAACCCCTAGAGCTTCTTAACATGCAAAGGATAAAGAGCTTATAAAGTATATTGTATTTTAATTTAAGGCAAGGTCTTCCTTCTGTTAAAGGACTTGTTTTAGACCGGTAGACTTGTCGAGTTTCAAAGCAAGAGGTCTCACTTTAAGTCTGGATCTAGCTGAGAATTAAGAATTCAAGTCTTTTAGATTTCAATCATTATCGAGGTATGTGGGGTAGGATGGGGTAATGAATTGAGACAGGCCCTCCCATTTAGTGAACATTGGGCATCTTCTATATGCAAGATACTGTGCTAAACACTTTGGGATATGTAAAAAAAACCAGAAAGGTAGTCGGCACACATTCATTCTAGTGGGAGAAGGCATTTACAGAATTTACAAAGGGTAGTGAGGATTCAGCTTCATAAAAAAGGTTGAACGGTACAGGAGGCATTAAAGAAAGTGATTTATATGCCAGCAGGATTTGGAAGGGATGTGGGATTGTGACATGTTGGAGTACTTAAAGTGGAAGAGGGCGGAGTCCAGGGTGATGGCCCAAATGTAGAAGAGGACAGGGCGTGTGCAGGCAGAGGATTAAGTTTTAGTCCAATGAAAGAACAAGGTTCATTTGGGGAGCTAGTGGGAGATTAACCTGGACGCATACCTTGTGGTCACACTGTAGAAGGTGCTGGATATTGGAGGTTGAGGTGTTACCACTCAGAGCAGTTGGTAAAGGGAAGCCATGTGAGACGTCCGCCTTTCCTAACTGGACGGGTGTCTCTTCTAATTCCCTGGAAGTTACCCTTGGCCATGGGGCCACTTCAAGCTCTTCCTGGAATTGGAGATTTGGAATTCACTATTTCTTCCTTTTCAGTTGGTCAGATAATAGCTAATGTTGCTGAGTGCCTCCACGTGCCAGTGCTCTTCTAGATGCAAGTTAACTGACTTCATCCTCACAGCAAACTCTGAGGCAAGTGCTCTGATTATCCCCATTTTACAGATGAGGACACCTGCAGGTTTAAGCTCTTTGTACGAGGCTGCACAGTTAGGAAGTGAGAGCATTGAGATTTGGGCAGTCTGGCATCACAGTGAAGGCTCTTTTCCTGCAAATACTTTGGAGTGTAGATCCCTGTCACTGTCAGGTTGCTGGGTGCCATGGGGAGACCTCCAGTCACTTGATCTTTATGAAGGAAGGACAGTGAGTTGGGTTCAAGGAAGGACAGTGAGTTGGGTTCAAGGAATTCAGGGTGAGTGACAGTCTGGAACAGTGGACACATTCCAGCAGTTCACTGCCAGCGTGTGGCCATGGTGTAGGCAGAGCGTTGCTCATTACACTCAAATAGCATCCTTTCAGCTCTAGAGCTAAGGATTTGTTTTTCAAGATTCAGAAAATATTGAGATTTTCGCCATTTAATCTGTGTTCATTGAGTGGACATAGGTAGAACAGGCGTGGTTAAATGCCAAGGCTGGAAGGTTTCAAGAAGAGATGTCGAGGGAACTGCGGAGACATCACTGAGTTTGACAGGAGGCCAGTCCTGATAAACTAAAACAAGTGTGGAAGTAGTACTCAGGGCCAAGCCAGAAACAGAATGAGTGACAATGAGGTGTGAAAGGAGGCAGTTAAGGATAGGAGAGACAGAGTGGTCTTTGTGTGATAAAATGGAATCAAGGAAGGGTGCGTGTCTTATTCATGTTTTAAAAAATTTATTTGTTTATTTATTTTTGGCTGCATTGGGTCTTTGTTGCTACGCGTGGGCTTTTCTCTAGTTGCAGAGAGCATAGGCTACTCTTTGTTGCGGTGTGCAGGCTTCTCATTGCGGTGGCTTCTCGTTGCAGAGCACGGGCTCTAGGCGCGCGGGCTTCAGTAGTTGTGGCTCGTGGGCTCTAGAGCGCAGGCTCAATAGTTGTGGCACATGGGCATAGTTGCTCCGCGGCATGTGGGATCTTCCTGGACCAGGGCTCGAACCCGTGTCTGCTGCATTGGCAGGCAGATTCTTAACCACTGAGCCACCAGGGAAGCCAGGGTGTTTTATTTTTTGCAGAGAGATGCAGAGTTTCCAAAGGCAGAAAGGAAGAGAGTGAAGAGGGCATCCAGGAATGACTGTTGAGCAATATTTTGGAGGAGGTAGAAAGTTGTGATAAGCAGATGTCTTTTCCTACCAGGCTAAAATGAGGAGTAGGGACGGTTGAAGTCCCAAGTGTGCATCGTCAACATTCAACAGCTATTCAATGGATGCAGTTAAAGAGTTAACTTTGTTAAAGAGGAACTGTAGGGAAGAAATTCTGAGATAAAGAAAAGTGAAAGGTGTGGTTTCAGTAAAGCAGTAGTTAGGACCTCGTGGTGAGCAGGCGTTGGTGATGGGACTCGTGGCCTAAGGAGAACGGGAAATAGAGGAAGATAATTAGGGACGTACCGTCTCATCTCCTCGCCCCTCTTCACCGGGAACCAACCTTATTGCGCCCCATGGGCGACTTGGTGTAGCGCGGACCCCGGGGATGACTTCCTAACCGCAGCACTGTCAGTGTAAACGTGCGGCAGGTGACCACACGTCAGCATCCGCTCCCGTAGGGACAGTGCCAACACTTCCGAACTCGGGGTGTGTCAGATGCCTGGTCCACCCGAAGTAGTTCTCTGTGCTCTAGGCGAGTGCCGCTGCTCTGCAGCACCAGGTAAGAGAGGCGTGGCGTCCTCCAGTGGGCGAGGCGCCAGGCGCGGCGCCTCCGGGCCGGGCGCGGCTTCCCGCTTCAAATCCGGGATGCCCGCCCTCGTCCAATCAGCGGGCTCGTCCCTTCGCGCCGTCCAATCCAAAGCTGGCTTGGAGTCCCCGCCCCTCGGTCCGTGTAGCGAACCGACGTAAACCCCAGGGGCGCACGGTACGGTCGGCCGCCGTGTGGGGACGCGCGCACGCGCACTGGCAGAGGCGCTGGACGCCGGACCTCTCTTTCGCGGACTTTCTGCCGGCCGGGCGCTCGCGGCCGGCGTCGCGGGCTCGGTGAGGGGTCGCCGGGGGGCGGGGCGGGCGAGTCGGGCTGCCGTGAGAGCGGGGCCTCCGGGACTCGGGTCTTTTGTCCGGGTCCTGGTCCCTGTCTCCCCAACGCGGCGCTCCCCGCTCGCGGGCCGGGCCGGGCGGGGGTGACGCGCTGCTGACCAGCGGATGCGGCCGCGTCACCGTGGCTCCCGGCCTCTTGCGGGTCGTTTCACGGAAAAACGGGAAAGGTGACAGTGTTTGAGGTCGCTTTGCTTTTGTTTTTTCCCGACGGCAGACTTTGTTCGCTGAAGCATGAGGTCCCTTTCGAGGCCGTCGCCTGGAGGACAGCTGTTTTCATGACAGTGTTTTCACTCGCTGTTATCATTTTGAGGTCATTCGACTGGAGTTTTTACTGCTCCAAGGTCAACTTTTTCTCCGGATTCCAGTTTTTAGGGCAGTTTACGGTAAGTTTTGAAAACTGTTATGCTAGATGCCTACCTAATGGTAAAGCGTATCTTAGAACGTTGGGGAAGTTTGACTTTGGCTTTTTCCCACAGCTCATACTTTTAAGTGTGTTCAGTTGTGCACGTAGGCTTCCAGTCGACAACTACAGCAGATGATATTTTATGTATCCAGGCATGAAATTAAAGCAATTAAATATCAGTAAACTCGAGCAGGATGTTTTGAAGTTACTGCTTTAAGGACATACCAAGAGGAATCCCAAAGCTGGCTGCTTAGTTCAAGTGCAGTAAAAGGAAAGATAATATTGTCCTCGTTTTAGATGAGGAGGAGGGCTGGGTAATGCAATAGGGACGGAAGTTAGGGCATCTTCCCTTCTAGGAAAACTTTAGGAATGTGGCATGTCCATAGATGGCTTAGAACAAGTGTAGTCCTTTCTGGAAAAGAGAGACTGGGCGGTAGATTACATCTGGAGGAATCTTCCCCTGGATTGTGTTACTATTGCACCGACAGCAAAGCTCTATTCCTGCACTTAGTACTGTATCATAGTGGGTAGGGATTGTCAGCTTTCTGAGGGGAGCCACCTTATTTATTGTTGCTTCACACAGCCAGGCAGAGTGTCTTTCACCGTTTGTTTCTGATAATGATTGTTGCATGAATGATCTTTCCTTGATATCTGGATTTTCTTAGATTTGATTCTTTCTAAGTGGAGATAACCCTTAAAGAGATGGTATACATTTTGATGTGGTATTATATATTTGTAAGTGAATGAGTAGCTTAGTAACTACAAGACTAGATGTGAGGAGGCTACTTGGAAGACTTGCGTAGGAATTTATTTTATTTTATTTTTTATTAATTTATTATTTTTGCTGTGTTGGGTCTTCATTTCTGTGCGTGGACTTTCTCTAGTTGTGGCAAGCAGGGGCCACTCTTCATCGCGGTGCACGGGCCTCTCACTATCGCAGCCTCTCTTGTTGCGGAGCACAAGCTCCAGATGCGCCGGCTTAGTAGTTGTGGCTCACGGGCCTAGTTGTTCCGCGGCATGTGGGATCTTCCCAGACCAGGGCTCGAACCTGTGTCCCCTGCATTGGCAGGCAGATTCTTAACCACTGCGCCACCAGGGAAGCCCTATTTCATTTTTTAAAAATATTTATTTATTTATATATTTAGCTTCACCGGGTCTTAGTTGCAGCATGCGGGATCTAGTTCCCTGACCAGGGATCAAACCCAGGCCTCCTGCATTTGGAGTGCAGAGTCTTAGCCCCT